TAAACCCTAACATTATTATTATCGACAATGTTCGGACAAAGTATCAATAAAAATAGAATAACGCACATCTACATAGATTGTCTATACCTAACATAGGTATACCGCTGTCTCGCATTTATAACCGATCTAACCTGTTTATCTAAGCTGAATATTATCATTTTAAATTTATAGCTATATAAACAATGCTGTTGCAGGTGCATTTCGTCTACATAATATATTATGATAACTACGCGCGTTCTCTGTAGGTATATTTACTGTGTAGCTGCGAGGTGACACGAACGAATGGATTTTAATATCGTAATTGTGCATCCCTCTTCCACTGCCTACGGAACGGTAAACCGCAAACGAGATCATTTGTAATGAAAATCCCGCAAAGTTTGCGATGACTGATGAAGCAGTGCGCGCGCGCTCGCGCGCTCGCGTTTATAATAACCAATTCCCGCTCGGGGCAAGGGGATGATTCCGCTCACAACAACGTCGTTTTCCGCGTTGTTATTTTAACGACATGCAATTAGTATTGCCGCGTACTACATTGATCTGAAACCAGATGTTACGATTTTTTTTATTTTTTTTTTTTTTTTTTGGTCGTTGGATATGGGGGTTTAAACGTGCAAATGCCACGAATTGTATGTATTTATAATTATATCGATATAAAACCGAAAGTTATTTTACGATGTTGTAGTTGTTTATGTAGGTATATTATAATATATATATATATATTGATAACTTAGTAAACATGGTATGTGTATAACTATTATATGAGGTAAATAATATCAATAGTAATATTTTTTTAGAGAATATAATATATTTCAGCAAAAAATGATATTTGCTTATGTTATAAAATAATACACTTTCCAATCGTGATAATTAAATTGTGTAATTTTATAAAAATTATGTTATTAGTAAATGAAAAAAAAAAATAGCAGGTATCTTAATTAAAAGCGCAAAATAAATAGCTAAGAAATTATATACATTTAAATATGCAGTATAGATACTTCATTGTAGTATTAACTTACCTTTTATACAATATAGGTACACTTAAAATAACTATATTTATTATAATTTATGGTTTCTTGTCAAATAACATTTTCTATTTTCAAAGTCGACGTAATCCTTGTATTATAATATAATGAACTCTATAATAATAATTTAAAGGTACTTATTTAGAATAATATCTTATATAATATTATTATGTATTGTAATATTTATGTTTATATATATATATATATAAATAGGTATTGGTTTTTTGGGTTTTTTCATAAAACAATGTATTTTATTTAAAATTAAATATTTCACAAATTGACACGTTTAGCATTTCGATTTTGATCCGTAATGTGTGTTTACAGTAACTATATTTCATTTCGTATTAATTTAATTCTGCAATAGGTACGTGTATTTCTTAAGATGTGTAGATGCCAGATGGTATATTATTTTATACCTATTTATAACTATGTAAGTACCTACATACAACATTTAATGTTGCTTGTTTACCGATAATTGATTAAAATTTGTATTTATTATGCCTATTGAGTATTTGATTTTTATAGTTTAATAGTAATTTAATAAATTTATCTCATGATCTTTTAATATTGATTTTTCAACATAATATATAATATACCTACAGTGATTTTACCCATTAGAATAATTGCATTAGTATTTAGTACACGGACTGTAATAGTGGGTGAATATATTAAATTATTCATAATATATTATTATAGTATACTCATGTATAATATATTTAATTAATTTACCTATATATATAATATATTATAAATATAAGAAAAACTAACTGAAAGAGTTATTAAAATTAGTGAATTATTGGAATCGTCATAAACGACGTGCAATAATAATTGACGTATGACGATAAGTCATATCAATATAGGTGTCGGCATCCTCTAATGATATTTTACCAAATCATCATTACGATCGTTATTACACTTCTGTTGAATTGTGAGCTACCTAGTTCAACACTTAATAAGAACGTTGAAAGTGAAGAACCAAACAGCTACCACATTATACTATGTATATACGGATACACACGTTATAAATCACTACACCTAGTCAATGTTCATTCTACAGGTGTTTGACGGCAATTATTATTTATCGAGTATTTTTTAATACGTTTCTTTAATATTACCACCTATTATTATAATAATATAATATAATGATATAAGAATTAATTCGCTAACAGATTGGTTAGAGCAATGAAAATCGTGTTTTCGATCATTTTAAATTCCAGTTTAAAAATACCACGGCATAAAATATTATGTATTATTAAATATTTTCAATTTTGTAAAATGGATAGTATATATATATATATATGTATGTGTGTGTGTGTGTGCGTGTATTATATATAAGCATTTAATGCCTATATTATAATAGGTGGATGTATGACGTTATTATAGCAAACCGCTGACCCGCACACTTGCAGATAAACGCGCCAAACCGTTTTGCAGTCAATTTATTATCCGCTTGCTCTACGATCTTCGTTAGTATATTAAATTATGTAATATGATTTATTACATACGTATATTATGCATTATCTGTACACACACATCGTGGTCTATTGTAAAGAAATGCATACGTGTACTTTGGTAAGTTTATTTAAATATATGTATATCATACATATATAAATACAGGGTTTTGTTTTTTTTTCGGGGCCTCATCCAATTGTTGTTGGTAATCAATAATTTTTAAAAAATTTTGTAATTTTTTTCGTGAGAGATGGCGGTGGTGATGGTATTGTTCCTCCATCGTCGTTGTCGTCATCGTCACCACGTTAGCCTATTGTTCCTAATGCGCTTACAAAGTCGCTAGTTATGGGGGGATGGGGGGGAGGGATTGGCGACAATAGCGGTCGTGGTGGAGTCCCCGAGATTCAGAGGTGGGAAGATGGGAGGAAGGCGAAAAAAAACGCACAAGAGAAGAAAAAAGGGGTTTCGAGCGGAGAGAGAAACCTGCTGCGGAAAAGGGACACGGAAAGCCTCAGAAATTGATTACAGACATTAATACCCTGACACCCTGGACACTTTTATTAATGTACTTTCTACCCTTTCGCCCGACGGGTGCACGCAGCATCTATCGTGCTGGCGGCGTGGCGGCGTACAGAGAGAATTTTTCGCCGAAAAAACCCTCTTTTACCCTCACACACACACAGACACAAACAGCTCCGAATACTCTCATCTATACTCTTCGTGTATGTATATTTATATATATATATACAAACACACACACTCACACCACAACGTCGTCGAACGCGCCTTCTCCGCAGCAGCATTCTCCCGTAGCGCCGAGCGGCCACCGCGAACACCGCACTACTGCAGCATCAGCAGCAGCATCAGAATACACATCGGCCCTTGGCGGCGGCGGCGGAGAGTTGACAAATTTCGGGCACATTAATACCCGTCCGCTTTCCACAATGCGCCTACGGTGCAGTGTGTGCGTGTGTGTGAGATGGCTTCACTTCCCCCCAACTCTACTAGCTTGCCTTCAAATATATACGTCTGCTTATATATATAAATACACACCGAGTCGGTGAGAGAAAGAGTGAGAGTGAGGAGAGAGGTACAATGAGAGCGCTATAGTCTATTGTGTGTATATTCCAAACGGCTGTGGAAAGACGCACGATGGTGATGTTGATGGGGTACGGGGGGATTTTGACCGGGGCAAAAGACGTACAGGGCGAAAAAAAAAAAAAAAAAAATAAAATGCTCGCGGGGAGCTGACAAAACTCGCTGAATGTACTCGGACCGTGTGTATGCCGCGTATCTGGCAGTGGCGGCGGTGATGGTGCGAGGGACGGAATGAATCTTCTCTCGTACTTATAATTCGCCACCGCCCGTTAATTTTGCGCATATATATATATAAACGTCTAGTATAATATAGTAGGTATATATGCAAGAGGGATAGTCGCGTCGTCACCTTTGCAGAGAGACACTGACTAATAATCCTCTTATGTCTACCGCCCTCCCGCCCATTCGTCACAACGGAAAAGCCGCTTCCATTGTTGGCGTGTTACACAAGAACCGAACCTATTCATATTCTATTAATGTGTATACACCATACAGGTATACGGATAATAACAACATCAACAACAACACTCAGAGGAATGCGTGTTTGAAAAATCGACGAGCGCAAAATCCACGGACAGTCCGTGTGAACTGCGAACACCGTCAGCGATTCCCTCCTATTCTTCAGCGTATACAAAATAATAATAACATCTTCGATACGTTTCTGGCTAGTATGATAAATACTTAAAAAAAAAAATTATTATTATTTTCTATTGTACTAAAATAATAACTACCAAATGGGTATATAGCACCCACTGTGCAAAAATTTGTAATATTTATGTTTTATAAATGTTTTAAGTTTACTTAAAACGTTAAAAATTATTGTAAAACTTACGTAAATTTAACATTATACGAACTGCAAATGTCCGCGAAAATTTACTTGATAATTATGTAATATTTACATAAATATAACAAAATAGTAAACGTCAATTTGATGTTAAAATTATGTTAAAATTCTGTTTCACCAAACATGAAATTTATGTTAAAACTATGTTTTATTAAACATAAAATATGTGTTTTATCGAAACAGACGAAAAACATTATAATAAAACTGCTTATTTATGTTCTAAGAAAGTTTTTAAATACTAAAATATAACATAAATATTATATGATTATTTAACAGCAATAAGATATATCGGATGTATCTCATATTTTACATACCTACCATGCATTTATAAATGGCTATAATAGTCATAACAGATATAGATATAAATCATACTAATTAATTATCTATATTATATCTGTGAACATCAATTAAATTTTTCAGTATGCTATCATTATTAAAATATACCTTTAATGTGTCTCGACTCTTGATTACTTACCTACTAATGTTATTCGTAAGTCCTATTAAATAAAATAGATAGGTAGGTACTTAAAATGCAGATTAACAAAAAACAGAAAACCAATTAGACTTCAACTAAGCATTTATTATGATATTAAATCAATATAAAATATAGATATAAGAAAGAAATATAGATAATTATGGACTAAACATTTTTTGGTATAACATATAGTAAGTAGTTGAAGTTCCACTGTGCTTACAATATTTCATGACATAATGATAATGCAATTGCCTTACTATTTGATAATTTAATTAAAAAACATTTAAATTTTAAATCATTCTCACAAATTGAATACAAATTACATAAATCATTGGTATTAACTACAAACATTCCAACTACAAATGATGAGAAAGGTTTATTACAGAATTCTGAAACATTTAGAAATTTTTTTACCATTAATTTTATTGGTTTGTCCTTAGGTTTTATTATATACTGTATTGTAATTAATGAACCATCTTGGCACAAAAAATAATGGTCTTTTTCTTTTGCAACATCTAGGGTGGTCTTAGTAGATTCGAAAATACATTTTTGATAAAGTTTATCTGAGATGGCTATAAATGGAAGGCTTTGATGGTCAATTTCTTTGTATAATATTGGAGAAACCTCCTCATTTTCCGATTCTTTTTCAACTCTTACATGCCAAGCTTTTTTAAAATTATCTAAAATGTTGGTAAATTTTAGATTAGAACAAATTATAACAAAACAAAATAATTATTAAATAAATTTAATTTTTAAAATAAGTGTTTACATTTTTTAAAATATAACATACAGGTTCCATACTACATACTTAAAATAATAATAAATATAAACTTTGTAAACTATTAAATAGATTTTATTTTACATACCATATGTTTTATTGCCACCAACTATTTTAATACCATACTCAAACCAAGTTGGATCTGGATCTAGGGCGTCATGAATGTCAGTACTGGTTACTCGACCAAGTGGCCATTTACATAACCTTACATTACTATTTTCTAGATTATTTGTGTCATTTTGAACTAGCCACTTTGTTGGTACTACACTGTAATCCTTCGAATCCACAAATACCACAATAACCCAACTAACTTTAATCTAAAATGGAAAAACATTCAACATTTATTTTTTAGTTGAGTATCAACTACCTTATTTATTATGCACTAGAAATCTGAAATATAGTAGCAATACCTAATGACTAAACTTGATAAAAAATTAAAGGCACCTATTAGGTAGGTAATATCTACTGTTATAGGCAAAAATATGAAACTGGCTATGCCACTGATAGCTAGGTGCATATTTATTTTTCCAATCTTAAAGAAATGGGTACTTTCTTTGTAACATTATTGTAATAATATTGAGTTTAGATGGATGATTGTTACTTTAGTTTTTCTGATTTACTGAAATAATATAGATATTTATAAGTTATGGAAGAGGAATCAGATAGAAACAATTACACACATTTTCTGGTAAAAAATTGTATTATTTATAACTAGGGCTAGGATTTATATGCAATAAAAAATTGTAAAATATGCATTTTATTTACCAAAATATGCAAAAATATGCAAAAACAAATTTTTATTATTTCTAGAGTATTATTATTTATCATAATTCAAAATTGTATTATTATTACATTAAAATATTGAATATTAGTTTATATTATATCATTATTACATGCTACTATAATGTGTTGTTTCAATAATTTTCAAATACAAACATCCAGCGATTTGAACGTAAAATAGATTTATACTGACTAAAACTCCTTTCCACATCACACGAGGTTATTGGTGCATATTTTAAATAATGCGATTTATCCTGGAGTTAATCAATATCGATTTCTTAGATAGATAATATTTATACTTTATACTTACAATAATTCGACGGATAAACCAAAAATTATCGATTTTATGAAAAAAACACCATTTAAAATTAACAATAAATTATAAAAATTTGAAAATTTAAGTTAAAAAAAGTCAAAATTCCAAAAATCTATAAATATGCAATTATATGCATTGTGTTCAAAATATGCAAAAATATGCAAAAATAAATTGGTTCTATTTAAACGAGAATTAGCCAAATCGTGGACAAATCTGACAACCATTAAATTTGGACTTAAGGAAAAAAACATGCAAATGCATATAAATCCTAGCCCTATTTATAACTAAAATAAGCAATACAATTAATGAGAAATTTAAATTTAATAAAGAATAAATAAATTAAACTATTATATATAATAAATAAAAATATGTTATAAAAATAAATTATAGGTATGACAGAAAGAATTTTTTTTAATGGAATGTTTTTGGAAGGAAACTTTGAACATAATATACTTAATCATTAGGACAAATAGGGGAAAAAATCATAACTAAATAATCACTATCATCTTGGTTATTCATGAACTGTATTTGTTGATTGTTCGAAATAAAAACTTAAAACATAATCAATGGTTAATGCACATGTATGTTGTCACATATTGACATATCGAGTATCAATATGTAGCCATATAGATACATATTATGGAGGTAGAAATATCGGATGACAGTGCTACAAGGGCATGGCCCGAAAATGCACATTTTGACTTTAATAATAGTTATAATATACTACTAAGTAGGTATTGTATACAGTAATGAATCTTACCTTTCTAGTTGCCATGATACACTTTAAGTCTTAAAACGATCTAAAAACGATGACAGGATACTAATCAGCTGGATACGTGATGCATGTATCATGTATCTACTGCTGTATTGTCGTACTATTGCAAGTAGAAAACAAGAGTCACGAGAAATGTGAACATTCGTCCACAATCAAAAAAACACATTTACTGTTATATCTGCTGTAGAAAAATAATAATTAACGTACGACTGACGAGTCACGAGTGACGACGGTTATCGGTGGTGTTTCTGGGTATTGTTGATAATTTATAATAATAAAACTATTTTCAGCCGCTATTTATAAATTAAAAATAAAACCCATATCTATGGCGGAGTACATAATAATTTAATATATTTTTGGATTGCTATCAACATCAAAAGAACATAAAATTGATATAATATATTATATTCTAAAATAGGTGGCGTTTTTATTATTATCAAATATTCTTACAACGTTCTACTGCTATGTTTATTTGATGTATTTATATTTGGAAATACATACATTCGTTGAATGTTTATTTCGTGTAATAAATATTGATGTTTTTTTTTAACAAATATATTATATAAAATAAACGTTATAAAATTATGTTATTATTGTAACTTAAAATTAACATTTTAAGGATGTTTAAAAACTTAAATTGCACAGTGGGCATCATATCTACCAAGTACGGCAAATACCCTTTGTATGGATACCTTGAAAAACAATATTTTTGTGTAGATCTTCATAACGATTTTTTTGTGATTTGTGATTTGTGATTTTATAAATAATAATTATGATATTATTAGATTTATAAAATGTTAAATTTTTTAATGTATTTGATATGAATGCGGAATCTTTGATCGCTTTTAATACATTAAGAACTTAAGGAATTTTAAAATTATCTCAAATTCCAAATAAACTGCGTACAGTACCTTGAAATTTAAAATCATGTTATGATTTTATTATCTTTACAACTATCACAATCATCCGTATCGAGAATTGAATAAATAAATCATTAAAATATACAAATGTTGTGGAGCTTACAATATTAATTTTCTAAAATTTGTGTGATGGCTTAGATTTTTTCCTACTGAATGTGGAATTCTTTTTTAATGTAATTATTATACCACAGTACATATATGATTAAGAAAATAAAAGTACAGTTTTGAGTGTTTGAATGGAATTATTATGTACGTATATACTATAAAAATACAAATATATAGGCATTTATGCAAAACGTACAATAATACAATGTAAAATTAAGTAATTTAATGCATGCACATGTAATTTGTGTGTATGTAAATAATATCATTATAACACGTACCTTATTCGCATACGGAAAGTTAGTGTGTAATTAAATCGTAGTATAGAATTTAGAATAAACAACAATTTGTGCTGTAACAAGTCATGTAATAGATACGAAATATTACCACGTGTAACGAACTAACGAATATTTGGATAGTTTTCTTTAAATTTATATATTATAACAATTTATACACATAATACAGAATTTATATACTATAAACTTACTGTAGCTTGCATAAAACGCATATTATAGTACAACATTGACAGATTATTAAACATAAACGTTTTTTGTTATAATTTATGATTTAAGTATTTGACAATAACTATTCGACTCCTATCAGTGTACTTAAATAATAGATCTTTGCTAAGGATGACATGCCAAAACCAACGACTAATCTTCGACAAACGTCTGACTGAGAGAAAAACATCTAATTAATAGAATTAAAATTAAATCAAATTTATCAACTTGAGCTTATACTAGGTAAATATTCAATAATCTATTTTAAAATTAAAACAAGTATTCATCCATAGTGTGATGTATGATATAAAAATTGAGTCCTATTAAATATTTTCGATAAAATATCCTTAGACTTAAATTAATAATTTTTCTCCATACGTCTTAAACCATATACCTTACACACAGACTTCCATATCTCAAAATAACAAAAAATAGCGAAAAATTAAAAAATTGATAGTCAAAGACCATACTATAAAAAGTAATGGAAACATATTATATTACAATTTTTGAGAAATACTATAATTATGCGTTAAGTATACACTAAAATAAATGTCTTTAAGAAGAACATTGCCGATTAAATTCTTTAAATCTTTCTTTATAAAGCTGATTTAAAGATATGAATTTATAATAACTTATACAGATATATACGTATTTGAACAGATTGTATAATTATCGAAGTAAAAAATAATAATTGTAGAATAAAAAACAATTATTCGATCATATTTTTCAATTAAGAGTCATTATAAATTATTTGATAATCATTTATAATCACAATTTTAATACTTACGTTCTTACATATTTATACATAATACATAAGTATTAAACAAAGAACATATATTTTATATCCGCAATGCTGTTATAATTAATTGTTTTAATTATATATTAAAAAAATGGTTTTATCATTATTTCATATTTTTAACTATAATATTATTCCTTAATGCAGTTAAAATGTGTAAAATTTAAAATGTAATTATTTCATTACGAAATCAATTTATACACTGCAGTAATCCAATTTAGATTTTATAAGTGTTAAGTAAGAGATTTTTTTTTTCAAAAGATAAATCAATTCAGGCATAATTTTTTTTTTTATTGTTATTTATAACACAAAATAATTGTACCTTGATAAAGTTATTTGCATATTTAAATGCGTTTTTTGAAGAAAAATCTCCAAATTCGTGTTAATTCTGCAGTATATTATATACTGTACATTATATTTGTTGTGTTGACAGCTGGGCATGGTGTTTTTATATATTTTAAAGACGACGATAAATCATTGCGTTTTACAAACGGTTCTGAGTGGAGTATAAAGGTTTGGCCATAAACAGTTGAATAAAATTGTCGCTTAATTGAACGCATTTTTTAAAGTTATATATTCTTGATATTCGCCAAATAGATACGAACGTCGTAAAACCAATAATATGCACAACTTACTCCACACATATTAAATAAACAAGCAAATGATCATATTCAATTTTTAAGGAGATCACCATTATAATATTGTTATTGGTCGCTTAGAATATTAATTCGAATGTATATATTAATATTGTACCTTATAACAGTAATAACCGTAGTTATTGCGTTCACATTAAAACAAAGACTTATATTGTAATATTTCCAATTCTGCAGTATACATAAAACCTATAAAAATTAAAATATTGCGAAATATATATTATATAGCTATACTGTCTTAGAGTATTTGTAACTGTTTTTTAATTTTTTCTAATTAGGTTACGCTATTATAATTTGTATGGATAAAAAATAATATTGACTTAGTTATAAATAATTAAATATTATTTATACTTTGCGAAATTACTTATTTATTATACAATTATGCAATTATATTGATTTATGATTTTTTTTTTTTTTTTTTTGTTCCAGGATATTTAGAAGTACATTGATTACAATAGAAAACAATTAATTTAACGTATACGTTGTGATTATAATATTTTTTATATAAATATTAAATTATATATGTTTTAAAATACAAATGTTTCTTTTTTGTTAAATGTTTATTTATTATAATTTGTTTCAAATTGATTCTTCAATTATTGTATGAATTTGTATGCATTATTTTAAACACAAGCACTCTTTTTATGGTCCTTTCCTCGTAAGGTTGAATAAAAAACGAAAAATATCCATTAAAATGTATTTGTATAATATACCTATTTGCTATACAAATCATGTATTTTGTTTTTATGGCTCTATAATAACAAACAGATGAACAGGTAATATATTATTATAATATATAATGTAAGTTAAAGGTGCAAGCTTAGTACGGTATGTTATATAATATATATTATAAATAAATAACTTACCTATTTAAAATACGAGTAAAATAAACGATATAAAATTTTTCAATGTTTATTTTTATTATTCACTAGAATACATCTAGATATTATGGCATACTCGTAAATACAAAAATGAGTTCCACAAACAATAATATATTTACACCAATAACACTAATCGAGAAATTTGTTTTACAGTATAGTGTATTTCGATTGCATCTCATTATTAAGTATGTGGTAATTTTAATGAATAATGTATCAATCAAAGATTTAGGAGACCATAGAAAACTGACTCTGCCAATTCATGTGCCAGATTCGTTAAAATTTAGATTGAATCATTAAAAATTATTTTGAGTGCATGCTGTGTTTAAAACTATATTTTATTATATTTTTTAGGTATTTAGGTTACTGTTAGTTAAGCGAACTACTTTTTTTTTGTCAAAAATATCATGCGTTTTGGAAATACAAAAAAAAAAAAAATCAATTTTTGTCAAAAACTGGATTCGCGTTAAGTTTTTTGCTGTTTTTTATCACATTTATTCCAAATTATAAATAACAACAACTTTAAATTATAAAATAAATAAAAAAACACACACATACGCATCATAATAATAACAATAAATTTATCATTCCCTTCAAAATTAAAATACAGAATTATAGATACGCTGAAAATATAAACAGAATGTCCAAATACAGGTATGTATTAACATATTATTATATAAAATTATACTAAGCAAATATTGAAATTTACATACTAATTACTATATCATCACTATTAGGATTATAATGTGTATTTATTAGGTACTTATATTATTTAGAAAGTAAATAGAAATTTAAGTTTAAGAATCAAACAGCTATATTGTATAATATATACATAAATTTGTATCAAGACTTGAACTGGTATAGGACACATTATGTTACAGATATTTTAATCATTGATTAGAAAACATTTTTAGGTGGCCCACTTTTTTGTATTTTAATGTAATTTCTTCATCGTTTCACCGATATATTTAGTGAATATTATATTATTTACTCTTTATCAATATGGTATTAAAATGTTTTAGACTTGGGAGTTATTTATTATCGTATAGAACAAACGGTATCATTTAACTAAACATTATACGCTATTATAATTATTATATACACAAAGTTAGAACCTATCTTGCAGGTTACATATCAAGATTATATAGTATGTTCAATTTTCATTATATATCATTATAATATATTATAGAAACGATGCACCTAAAGTTTAAGATTCTGAATTTTGAACTATTTTAATGCTGTATATAATAAATAATCAAGTTGTTCATCTAAATTATTTTTTTCTCGTAAATCCAATTTGTCGTGATTTTAACACGTACATATCTGAATTATTTTTAAATTAATGTTTAGTGTACATTTAACCATATTACCAATGAAGCTACATAAATATCCATCCAAATATATTAATATAAGTTATTTTTTAATAATTTAATTAAACAGCAAATTTAGAAACCTGACTATTAATTTATACATTTATATAGGTACACCTAAAGTATTTATTAAATAAACAAAAAAATAAATAAGACAGTTTTTAATCAACTGTAAGCAATTTATTATCGTGAAAAATACCAATGTATAATGATTTATACATAATATAAATATAAGTATTTATATACTATATAATATCAGTATTTTAAATAAAATATAATATTATGATGGTTGAGTTATTTTAAAAGTATAATGAGGAGTTGAGGCTTTTACACGAATACCTGATTTCAGTCAGAAACTCTATCATCCCTCACATAATATTATATAATATATACACATTATTTCCAAATTACAATTAAATCCATTGTCATCATCTGTTCAAATTGCTGGAATTCAAATTCCAGAAACTCTGTATGAAATAATTTGTGACTATCTTCTAACATTAATCAAAATCTTATTTAAAAAAAAAAAAAATTAAAATGTACAAAATAATCTAATGTAAATAGGTAAAATATTAACCTAATTAAAACTAATAACCTATTTAGTTAATACTATTTATTTTATACTTGAGAATAGATACGAGTACTCAACATTTACCTATTTAAAAAATAAATGACTGCAATGTTATATATTGCAGTGGGTAAATTTCCACTGAAATATTAGATTATACCAAGCTATAAACATATATATATATATACATATTATTATTATAGTAGGTATACAATTCTCAATGCCATAATTCATAATAATTCTATTCTATGTTTAAACAAATAATTAATATAGGCAAATAGTTAAAAATTCATAATTTTCCTATTTCATTATATTTATAGTTAATAATTTTCATAATTATTAATTCATTATGATATTCATAATCAGTATTTATAATTCTGTACTATGTTCGGAATGATAAAAAATATAATTATAAATATTATTACGCCATGTGTTTATCTACATGACGGAACTAGTTCCGTCATGTGTAGTTTATGTAGGTATGCACTTCATGAAATGTTGTCCACATAGTGTAATTACGCGAAGTGGAAAAAAAGCGTTTCCGTTTCGCGAAATGGATATAAACTTTGACCCCTTCGTGAAATATACAATTACGCGATATGGATGCGACATATATATCATGTATCCATGTCTATTATAACAGTAATATAAAAATTATGTCACATGTCACCTATAGTATGTATTATATTAAATTAAGAATATTATACACAATTTACATAGTTCAGAAACAATACAATTAACTGTTGACCGATAAAATAATTTATTGTAAACAATAAACTATGAGGCATAATATCAATACACACCGTGTAAGTAGGTACACATTATTGATATAACTGCAGGACTCCGTATAACTAACTATGATACATAGTAACCTATTCTATTGTAAAACTTAATCTATATATTTTTTAAATATTTAGTAATAGAACCTAATAATAACTGACATTATATACTATATATAAAGTATATATAATATACTTATCACTTAATATAGGTGTATATAATATATATATTATTTTAATATGCTCGAGCGCAACGTCATTTTTTATTTAAACGATATTTGCAGACACGAATCGCAATCACTTTAATAATATTATATTATGTGCGAATACATACAGTACGATGTGAAATCCCGTAACCCCCTTAAAAAGAAAGAAAAAAATTGTTTTTTTCCCGTTTGCTCGCGGGGTGAGGCTCCATGGCTGCTGCTCGCGGTCATGTCTGGTGTGTATACGCACCGTGGCGAGGGTGGGCCGCCGCGCCGCCGCTCCGTGCGCTGTTCACCGCGTTTCGGTCATCCATCTTGCCGGCAATGAATCATGGGAGCGGATGATGATAATAATAATAATAATAATAATATACACACAAAATACGGCGACTGTGCTGCTGCAGCCGCCGTCGTCGTTTGCCTCTGTCGCCGCCGTACAATGTACCTATATACGATATAATATTACAGCGTTTCGCCTCTGACGCCGTCCGCGACTAAAGTGGTTCCCAACGCCTGCAAAAATATTAATACAAACGGTCGATTATCGTCTTGGATGAGGTTATTATACATTAAATGTACACGGTTTATGCATTATACATTACAGAAATAGGTATATTAGGTATTGTCATGTGGGTAGACAGAACGTAACGATACCGTCATCAGGCTAAGAATTATTGAACTCAACGAGGGGGGAAGGCGACTCGTCGCCCAAACGAAAACTCATGTAAATTCATCCCTCTTACCGCATAATATTATATACAGCCGTGTTTAACAACATGAGCAATATTATAATATTTGTATGCACAAAATAAAGTTGTTTTTTTGAGGGGATTCTAAATGTGTTGAATATATAGTGAATAATATAATGTATACAAGACAAAAGATATCTATAATTATTTTATTTGACCAATTAATTTCGTATATACAATATTATTATTGTCGAGATTGAAACCATTGAGATTATTGTTATATGTTAAAAATAACAATAAATTTTATATCAATATAAAAATGATGCATTTATTTTATATTAAATATTATATTGAATAGATAATTTCCACAGTATATACATATTTCAATTCAATATAAACTACAATATCAAAATTGTTTTAACAATAATAATCCTATAAGCACTATTAATTGAATTAGACCAGTTTTTTTTTTTTACCTTTATGTAAATAATGCTTCATAAGATGTTATTTGCTAAGCGACTAAAAGGTTGGTCAAAGTGGTTACTATTAGATACTCGTAATACAAACTGCAGTACGTGTCTCTATAGACTTTACAAGTATTTGAATGTTTGGGAAAACATAGTATTATAATATTATTATAATAATGCAATTATTTAACGATTCTGTAAACAATTCCACTCTGAATATTTCAAGGTATTGAAAAAATGCATCACATTGTTTCTATATTATTAGTAATCTCAAAATTTAAATTATTGTAATGATCTATGTGGCTTTACAATTATACATCATTCATATAGAGTACGACCGTATTGAACGGAACGGGTGTGCTAAATACATAGATCAAAAGAAGTAGTAGCTACTAAAAAACAGCGAACGTTTTATTTACGTTTGTGTATAAAATGTTTTAAGACTTCATTTTTTACTACTTAAATGGAAACATATGTTTTATAAGCTATACGTATACTATAAAATTCCATATTACAGTACAATAAATCGTTTGTATATAATTCTTATCATTATATATATATACAATCCCCATAAATATAAATTTAATATAATAATTGCTCTGTTACGGTCCAAATGCTTTAATATATCATGTAATAGTACACAATAATATGCTCATTGTCACATGAATCGTATCCTGAATGGACGCAATCTTTTAATTTTTTTTATCGTTTTATAGTATATGTGTCGCACGGCGTCTCCAGAGTTTTTTTATTCGCAAAAAACTATTCACACAATACCTGTAGCTCGTCTTGAACGAAGAAATAAAAACCATCCCAATCGCGGGTGGTCTATATTTTATAAGCGGTATAAAGAATATAAATTGTGTATATCGAAAATATGTGACCCGATTTTTGCGATTATAGAAATTATTCATTGTTACACACACACGCACTACTCGATGTGTATTATGTTATTCGTTTTTATAAAAAATATCTAATTTTTTTGCAGTTAGTCTTTTAAATAAAAAATATTTGTGGGTGGGTAAAAATTGCACTCTACTTAGTCGAAACGCAACCTTTCAGTGCGTCGGACAATCACCGGAGGACATCGTCGAATGGGCGATATAATATTGTGTATACTTCCGAAAAACTTATTCGATGTAATGCAAAAATATATTTTTCGCGAATTCACTTGAATTTCCATTGTGAAGCCGGGAAATCTACATCTACGTATAAATCAATAGGCGCTTGTCTATTACGTCGAACTGATCAATATTGCTGATAACCAAAAATGTTTCTTATGTGGTTTTGCGCAAATGCGCACCGCACTCTAAACATTCGTTAATAACGTCACAGGTAAGTGTTAAATAAATAATAGTAGGAATATTATATAATGTAAGACCTTTGACAAGGAGATATTGGTTTTCATTTTTTGATAAATATATATTTATAAGTATGTTAGGATTTCTGTTAGTATTTTGAACGATATATCTTGCATGATATTAAACTATCATCTTGAGAATTAAGGTGTTATGACGCATACATTGTGTCATAAATCATAATAACGGCGGTGACGTATAAAGGGTTATTTCGACTATGTTTGTTTCCCGTATATTATAACATGCATGTGACATAAACGCGTCTTACGACACGTTGGAATGCAAACAATGTACACGTACATTTTTAAGTAAATATCGCACAAGTATATAATATATGGCATATGCATTTACATGCTAAAAAATTCGGTTTCGATCCGAGGCACAAATCTACTCCATCGTGATAATGATTTATAAAACGGCATAAATATATAATATATTAGGATAAAAGATTGACGTGATGAGATTATAATTATCGAAATTGGATCTCATGCTCGAGTTAGCAATTATTTACTGTTTAGTAAATATAGAAACTGTACGAAGTAGCCAATGAATAACTAGTATATTTATTGAATTATCTATCATATAGCAAGTAAGTATAGTACAAACTATAGTAGTAGGAAAATGAAAACGGACGTATGCTTAGATATTTCAGTGCCAAATATCTATCTTCAGTATGTTTTTGAAACCTTTTTTTATATACCTACACAATTTTAAGTGACTATACCTACTAGACAAAATATTGAATTGTTTATTTTTTCTAGTCATAACAAGTTTTTAGAAATTAAAAAGTTTTTTAATTATCGTTCTTATAGTTTTATAATTTTGTATTGTGATTTAAATAGTTAAATCGTTTTTATTTCGTTTATTTGCGTGTGCCGTGGGAATAATGATTGCAGAACAGAACAGTTTTTTTTATTAATAATTGCATTACCATTTGGACGAACTATTAAAACAACTTGTACGTAGTAAATCTCAATTTTTCAAAGTTTTTCTTGTTACTCCTAACTGAAAGTTTTTTAAACTTTAATTAATGTTTGCAAGCTAAAATTCTATAAATGACCGATTCGATACAAATGATACTATCAATGTAGAATTCGTCAGTCTTCTGAAACGTAAAATTGGATTAATACAAATCAACATAATAATCATAATATGTGTATATTATTATACGATTGTAGCAATTCGAACAACATCAATATTATATATACGATATTGTCAATGAAAACATTTTTATTTTGTTTTCTTATGAAAATGTTACAATTATTTTTTCCTGTAAATACCGTCAAAATAATATTATACACGATATTTTATTACAATAGTCATTTTTCCGGTCGTCGAGTACGTCGATCGTGATAATTATTTACACGCGTGTTTGTATAATCCATAATATTATATAAACTGTAGTGAAGTGTGAGTATATGTATTTAATCATAAATGAATAATATTATGCATAGACATGTATTGCTTGACCGGACATCCGGACGTTTGTGTATATTATTATATAGCTGCGTGCATATATTGGCTAAACTTTTAAAGTTTTAACCATCAGTGCATTTCCGCCGCTTTGAGCGTAGTGGCATAACGCGCTCGGACAACGATTTATTGTGATCCGTCAATGTACTATATTGTTTCTAAATATATGTATTATTTCGTTGTATATATATATTAAAATTTAAATCGAAAATTTGCGAACGTCACGCCACAGTTTTTGCTCTATGAAATAACTATAACTATTTGTGGTATAATACGCGATTTCCCAAGCTTTATATCGTCGGACGCGTATATTATTATTATTATTTCGGTGAATTCCATTATTTTATGATCATTCCGGTCGACGTGGTTTTCAACGTATATATGTTATTATTTGTATGTGTACCCATGTATTACGTATTTACATCATATATATTATATCTATAATAAACAATAATTTCCATCATAAATACCGACGCTTGGCAATAATTTAAATATCACTATTGCGTTTTCAATTTTGTTTTTTATTAATACGTTTCGAAAATTCAGATTTTTCGAACATATTTAAGTACAGGAACTCGTAAAAAGTGATTATTATAACGGGTAAGATTTGTGGGTAACATTTACACATTTATACCTACTCGTAATATGTGTAGGTATAGGCATGTGCCATTACCTAAGCGTTCAAGACAATCGAATAAATTATATTAACAATCGATAATAAAGTCTTTGCATATCTACATAATGTTGCATTACGAGCTATAGTAGTTTAACGGATCGAAAAATCTCGGGATTGTTTTTTTTTTGGGGGGGACATCTTGTCGACGAAGCGCGTGAGATCGATGTATCGCGTCGATATTATAATATACCATCGTAAAACACTCATAGAGCACGTGCCTATATATATCTATATATATATCATTATAATGAAGTCATTCGGATTCCCATATATATATATATATATATATATATATTAAATGCATTATTGCGCTTTATTAGTTTTCGTTTTCTTACATATTATTACCGCGTAATTTATGTCTGATTTAAATATATAAAGCGCACAACGGCGTTTATTAAGTACTATATTAGACGATAATTGATTAGTTGTATATGTGGTACTGTGGTACATGCGCATGTATGAATAATTCGTGAATAAAAAGCTTTCGACAGGAACGGTACAAAATACGTGTTAGGCTAATTTAGGGTTATAATTTATGACGAGGGTGGCCACGCTATATATACATATATTTATATATATATACATAATATGCACTATCCGCGATATAATATTATATAAGTGCATGCAAATTATATTTTTATGTATATTATATACAATCATGTATAGAGCTGCTATTGATAAACCAGCAGTGTAGAAGAAGACATAGTACGTCAGTTGTGTTCTTGTAAAAAAGTTATTTTTTATTAATTTATTTCATTATTTTTTTTTTTTTTTAATTTTAATAATCTTACAATCGTTTTAGTAGTTTCAATAGACTTGGAAGTGCAGAAAGTGATTACAAATAAAACTTTAATATAGACTTAATAATTGTTGAAACTCGACGGAACGAGAATAAGAGTTTGATAACGTACATTGTTACTTAAAATAAATAACATTTAGCTAATTATTACCTTTTAAAAATTAAAGAAGTTTAAACAAGAAAAATGAGGTTTTAAGAAGAGTATGATAAATACAAGGATAAATAAATAATAGAGAATATCTGATGAAGGGAACGCTGACAAAACACAGTTTGTTTGTATAGTGTCTGAATAATAAATGAATGAAAGGTAGTCAATTTTGATTTAAGAAGCAAATAATAAACATTTTTAGTATTAACATATTCCAATATTTGAAAGTAATTAATATCATGTAATATAGTAGGTGGGTTCTGAAAAAATGAAATTATATTCGTATAAAGCGAACGAATTAAAGAATAAAAATACTTTTAAGTAAAAAACTATAATTTAAATTCTGAGCCTATATTTGTTGGTCACATCCAAGCACTTAGCGAGTTTTATAGATGATATCTAAAACTCTAAACATTAGTCTAGAATTTAAATTGGGTGTAAAATATTATAACTGCCGATAATAATCGTTATAAAATTCTATAATTTCGTTTAGAGGAGCTTAAACAAATTATTTTATATCAACCGTTACATATATTACTAGATTATTATCGCACAGGAGCCACGTTAATTTCGTTCATTCTTTGTTTAGATTACTGTTTTATACAACATTTAAATACATATTTTATACTGGACAAGTGATTGTGATCCATTATAATAAAGTCATTATCCGGAATAAACGTTTTTATTCGAATGTAATATTAATATAATATTAAATAATTACATTAGGATTTTACATTATAAATTAATTTGAAGATTTTTGTTGGTCGTTCAGTATTTAATTGTATAATTTGAGGAAAAATAATATATATAATTGCATTCTTACGGTAGCTTAATAGTGCGAGATATCTTTTATCAAAATCATCCTGTTGTACAATCTCATGTATACGAAAATCCACATTCCAACTCCTGTGATAGGTAATAATATATATCATAAAGTAAAATAAAATATATCATACATCTTTAAATACATAGTTGATATAAATATATATATATATGTTACGGGCAAAGTGGAAAATTCGGACAATGTTATACAATGTCCGAGGTATATTGGGCAATGTAAATTGTGAAGTATTTATACAAAATAATCTGCATAATATATTATGTTTTTATTATAAATTATTAATATTACATTATTATACATAATTAATAATTAATTAATTTTTATATTATTATTATTTTTATTTATACTAATTTATTTCAAATAATTTTAATTTTTTTTTTTTACTAATTATACTATTTATTATACCATTATACTATTTATACTAATTAATTAAAATAAAAATTCAATTCAATTCAATTATTTATTTTCACATAGTACTGCTTGAATAGCATTTTGATGTACATAGTCTATTTGCTGCTTTGCGCTTATATTTTCGTGTTTTACATTTTTGCGCACATGTACACCGTTCGTTATGAGATAAGATATTAAATATATAATATAATAAATTATATGAAATAAGATATTTATCGGTTTCGTTATCGGGATATATAGTGCATTCACAAAATGTCATTAGTGTTTAACCAAAGGATAGACGTAACAAATACCTATTTATACTTTATAAGAAAAAAATAATATTAATATATTATATTATGTAATATTAATAATTTGCAATAAAAACATAATATATTATGCAGATTATTTTATATAAATACTTCACAATTTACATTGCCCAATATTTATTGTCCGAATTTTTCACTTTGCCCGTAACATATATATATATATATATATATATATATGGGAAAACTTTTATTTATTGTAATTCTAATAATATTTAAACAATTGAATATGCCTTGTGTGTGTTTTGAATCATATCTTAAACAATTAAGACATTTTAACCATCTTTAAAAGCTTAAAACATTGAATAGGTAGTTAAATCATAT